AACATTAAAAACAAAAAGTTTATCATTTTAGAACAATGCTTTTTGACTTACCCTCACATATATATAAGCATATGTAACATGACTGGAAATGGAACATACTGTACACATTTTATGACCTGCCTTTTTTGTCTTTTAACATTATATCATGGACATTTGTACAAACAATGTTGGCATACAAGTGTGTGTGTATATATTTTTTAAAGTTCTAAGCCATATGGGGAGTGCAGTGGCACTGTAGGACAAGAAAGTTTAGTGGTTTGAGTTCACCAGTCTCTCCTTGGGAAAAAGATGAGGCTCTCTGCTCCCAGAATGATTTATAGCCTCAGAAACTCTATACAAGAAGGCTATGATTCAGAACAGACTTGATGGCACTTTAACAATGACAAAAAGAAGCCAGACTGTGATACTACCTTAACCCAATTGTTGTTGTTGTTGTTAAGTGCCATCGAGTCGGGTCCGACCCATAGCGACCCTGTACAGGGTTTCCGAGGGTGTAAATCTTTACGGGAGTAGAAAGCCTCATCTTTCTCCCGCGGAGCGGCTGGTAGTTTCGAACCGCTGACCTTAAGGTTCGCAGCCCAATTAGAATAGCTATATATATATATATATTAAAATAAAACAAAATAACAAGTGGTTAGCAAGGTTATAGAGAAATTGGAATTTCATCCACTGCTGGTGAGAATGTAAAATGGTACAGCCATTGTAAAAAATAGTTTGGCGGTTTGTCAAATAGTTGAACATCAGCATATGACCTAGCAATCCCAATCTAAGGTACCTACCTAGAAGTGAAAGCAGGAACACATACATGTGTACCCATAGTTCACTGAAGCACTTTTCACAATGGCCAAACAGTGCAAACCACCGAAAGCTCCATCGAGAGGAATGACTAAGTAAAATGTGGTATAGTAGAAATGAAATACTACACTGCTGTGAAGAGAAATGAAGTCCTACTACATGCTACAACATGGATGAAACCTGAAACACGCTGAGCAACAGGGCAATACAGTATGATCTCATATATAGGAAATCAGGAAACATAAACAAAAGATTATTAATGCTTATCAGTGGTGAAAGGATGGAGGGAAGGGGAAGTTTTTGTTTGAGGCATTGAGTTTATACTAATGGTGGTAGAATGGTTTGGGTGAGAACAGCAATGAAGATGAAACAATATGAAGAATGTAACCAATGTCATTGACTTGTAAGTGTGGAAGTTGTTGAAGTGATGGATGGTTTGGTTTGTATGTTTTCACAATACAATAAAAAGAGAGAGGAACATATTCTAATATCTTTATGCATATATTCCCAGATTTAACCTCATCAGTGCAGTTTTAGAAACCTGACTAGACAGTCTCAATCCAGTTGATTTTTTTAACCAGAGGTCTCCTTGCCTCTTGCTAAGTGTGGTACACCCTGAGTGCGTCATCCTTTCAAAAATATCTTCCTCTTCTTTGGGGGAACTGCTCCAGAGGGAAGAATGTGCCCAGGGTTAGACCAACCAGAGTCGTTCCCTAGCCTCCTACAGAGCTACGTGGAGTGGAGTGGGATGGAGCAGCGCTCTCTTCCCTCCTTGCTCTGGAGTTAAGGACGAGACCAGGGCTCCAGGTGACCCTGCCTCCCACCCTGTGGAGGTATCTGAGAAAACAGAGCCGGCATATGAAGAGACGCAAAAATGGGAGACAGTGAGTGATAGGAGATATGAAGTGAAGAGAGCTACAAGATAATAAAACACCAAAGCTAGTCACCTTTCCCCAGGCAACACATTCTATTTTCAGGTCCTGTCTGTATGGCCTCTTTATATAAAGAACACTGCATTACATGCTTCCTTTGCCACCCTTGCTTGCATCTTGGTCTCTTAAACATCATTCAGAACAAATATCTCGAGTCAAGGTGGATGATGCCTAGTTTCTTCTCTTTGATTTCACGATGGCCAAGATACCCCAAACCATTCACCAGAAGAACTCAACTGTCCTTTTTCATTCTCAAGCACTTTGCTTCCCCTCTCTGGAAGTTGGTTTACTCCTTTCATAGTTTCAGAGTTAGTAACACTTATAGCTCACATCTGCCAACAAGGCAATTAAAAAAAAAAATCAGTATCCAGAATGCGTAGAATTACTTCTAATAAAATTATTTATAAAATCCTAGGGCATAATACCAATTAGAAAGATGGAAATGTGACATCACAGAAGACTGCGGAAGACTACTAATGGTCATTTAAGTACTGTTGGTAAGTACCGTGGAGTCTGTTCTGTTACAGTGACCCTGCACAGGGGTTCTGAGGAAGCAGAAAGCCTCACCTTTCTCCCGCAGAACGACTGGTAGTTTCGAACTGCTGACCTTCAGGTTAGCAGACTGATTCGTAACCACTTGCAACCAGAGCTCCTCCATTTAAGTATAATTAAGTGTAAAATTATTCAGGTAAGAAACTATGAAAAAGTCCTAGTAGCTATAACTTGGAAATCCATAAAATAAATTTCAAAAGTCTGAAGAACAATCATTTCCAGCTATTCCTTTAAATAGATATTTTAATTATTTTAAATTCAGGGAGAAGCCAAGAGGACGGTGAAACAACCCTAAAATTTATGACAACAAGAAACCAGCATCACCTCAGGATGGAAAAAACACAGGAAGGAAGGAAGGCTAACAAGAGCACAAAGGCTAAGGTCAGCGGCAGCAGCTGAAACAGGCTGTTCTGCCCAAATGGAACTGGATTAACGGAGGAGACAGAAAGGTAGAAATTCCCGTGTTTCTTTCCCTCCTAGTGCCCTCCAATGTACCCAGGATTTCCTACTGTTCAAAACTGGCTAGAGGCCAGCTAAGACCAGACCACATAGTCTCCAAGGCTCAGCGCTTCTGCCACATGAAACAAAGCAGTGGATAGATCAGACAGCTAACTGGCCACAACCCAGCACAGGAACACTAGCAGTACTGCAAAACATACCAGGATTTGTGGTATCAAAGAGGAGTCACGGCCAGGCCAAGGTCAGTTATGAAGACCGAAGACCAGGAGTTACTGATGGGGGCAAACATACGTATCAGATGAGCCTGGCAGTCTGACCAAAGCTTGCCAGAAGGTGATGTCTGGGCACTGGGGCTAGGCCAGACTCTGATGTCAGCACTGTCACGTGGCCATGGCCCACCCTGGCAGGGCCTCCTGCCCCCTTCTGAACTGAACTGTGGGCATCTCTTGATTGGCAGGCAGGAGGGATGGCAAACACTACAAGAAAGGGATACAGGAGAAACAGCTACATATGTCAGTGCACACACAAGGCTTTGGTGGGATATACGCAGGATATGGAGGATAGAAGGGGTCAGAGGGAACTATAGCCTTATTTAGGGTCTT